ATTTATCCACGGTTTAGACACAGCCATCAAGTCTGATCCGATATATGGCCAAGTTGCCACCATACCTGGACCACCAGATATAAATGTGTCTGCAGCCCATGTTGATGAAAGATGTGACTTAAACATAGAGACATGCAGATATATTAATGAAAGAGACAGGTAAATTAGGCCTTAATAAAAGTAACCTGCAGAAGATGGTTTAACGCACCACCAGCTGCAGTGTGTTAATACCAAATTTAATTTAAACTTGAGCAAATCTAATATTAAAAAATGCATTGTAAATAGTGAAAGACACATTATGATTAAATCCTATAAGGAGATCAGGGACTCCAGTATGATTCACTTCTTGGGTGTGTACACTTTAATACCATTCTGGGTGTTCACAAATTCTGTGAAGCCATGTTGTTTGTCTCAGAATTTAAAAACAGTGCCATGTTGACATGGAATATTAGAACACTACTTTAAATTGCTCTTCACATTCCACATTAATGTTAACCTTATTCTATTTAGATTACTGCAACATCTCAGTCTATATCAGTACACAAGTGTTGATTCACCTGGAGTCAAGCCTCCCGATGCTCAGGTAGGTTACGCAAAATCAAATCCAATAAAAAAAAAACAATGATGAATTTCATGCAAAGACCAATTTATTGGGCTCTACACTACTACTGTGTATACAAACTCTCACCCCATGCTCTGGTTGCTACTTTCTATCATATCTAACAATTATTTCTATTTAAGACACTCAGCTGATGTTTGTTTCTAGTTGAATTATCAGCTTAATGCAGTATACATGTTCTGTTCTATTTTATTCTCAGGCTGCTAGATTGTCTTCCACACTGGTTGATGTAGAGAATAGTTTAAAACATTGTTTATTGAAATTAGAGAAACTGTCAGGTATGAGATCCCAATTTTCGTAATTTCTCTATATTTTTGCATGATTTAAATCTTCCTGTTGGTAAAATATTAACTAAATTATGTTTGAAAGCAAACTAACTGCTCACTTATGTTACAGGTACAATGTATGTAGATGTTGAGTGGACGCCAGCTGAGGATGATGGAGATGCACTTGTCAATGGTTACCAAGTCCTTGTCAATGGCAAACAATATGGATCTCTGCTTAATACATATGTAAATCATACAAGACTTAAAGTAAGTTATTTCACAGTATTTGTGTGGACTTCAGCACTTTTTACATCTCATCAAATATTATCATCTGATTGAATAAGAACAATATGTTTTACATTTATTGTTTTTGATAGTGTTTTTGCATCATTTGAGGGAGCTGTCTCAAAAAATGACATTAATAGAACTGCCCTCATCAGTGAATATTTGAATCTATGGTATAAATTATCAATTCATCTCATACAATTCATGAGAACCAATGGAATCCCCTATTCCAGAGTGTATTATTGTTTTGTACAATTAACTATAAATTAATCACTGTATGTGTTTTCAGTTAAATGCCTATGATCTGGTGCACAGAATCAGTATTGTAACCGTTACCAACCATCCAGTGGGTAACAGTGAACCATCAGATGAGATTGCTGTCTTCACAGAACCATTCCTACCATTTGCCACGTTCTGTTTCCATAACATACACAGTAAAGATGTCAGGTCAGCAGACTTGTTTTTAGTCTCTCAAATAGTGTTCTATTCTTTCTCATAATTATGTCCACTTATGATTTCAGCAGCTATACAACTAATACAACTAATACGCAAGAACTTTTCAGTAGACAAGATAGATGCATGCTTTTTTTTTCCAATGTAATATGTCAAAATACTAAAAACATAACTTAGAAGAATGAATGAGTGAATTTGGATACACTTTCCTATCACTAAGTTTTTCTACAGGCTGCTGCTAAAAACATTTTTCAAATGAAATTAATTGAAATTCCAGCAATATAAACATACAACACGTTGCTTGAAAACATGAGAAGTTTACAGTTGATGTTAGCACAGGGCTGTATGGAAAAGATTCAAGTTTCCGCTCCAAACACCCTGTATGGTTTCCATCCCACAATCCTTTGCGAAATCCAATATGGCGGAAGCACATTTCTGCCCTATACTACCGGTACCAGTAATACCAAATAATGAGGTTTATAAATATTTTCAATTCAGATTCCCAGAGGAAGGCTGCTGTGCGTATTCTGATAGCTTGTCAAAGGAACTGAATTCAGACAGTCTTGGTACTTACAACATAGCTGCAGTTAATTTAGGAACTTTACGTCGCAGAGTTCCACCTGCTGCAGTTACAGTATTAGATGTCTTTGAAGGAGCTTGGCACTTATTGATACCAACAAAACTAAGAAAACCAACTATCATCTTGTTTTGGACAAAATGGTGAGTATACATCATTGAACATGGAGTCTATTAGATACAGTTATAAAATCAACAATACTTTAAAAAATTTGACTTATCTCTTAAATTTTTTTTGTAGGTGTCTTGCATCAAAAATAGCAATGAAGTCATTTGTACGTTATTCCAGAGGCCATGGAAAAAGAGTAAGTTGCTCAAAATTATTTATTTGTCAAAATGAGAATTAGAGTGGTGTCATTGTAGTATTGAATGCAAAAGAGATTCTAAGACTGATTATTATAAATCTGTCACTGTAACGCCATATGTTACAGCATGCCGTAAGTTTGCATTATTCTATGTTTTTTTTTCATCCTACCATATAAGGAAATGCGAATTCCAAATACAGAATGATCACGTGCGTAAACATTCTCTAATAATAAAAACAAACCTTGCTGCCAAGGTCGCTGATTCTGTTCTAAACTTTTTGGATTTCCGCATTCCCATGATGTATCCTTGGAAGGAAAAGATGTATAGTAATAAGTTTATTACGAGAATACCTCAAAGTATGCACTGTATGCTGCCGCATCGTCCTCCACTGCACGCCGGTCGATAGTCCTGCTGTACTGTCTTCATGATCTTATCATTATAGTATTTATATAATATGTTTCTGAAAGCTCCATCTTTGAACCTATTACCCATTGACTGTTAATACCAAATTATTCACTAAAGCAACTCAGTAAATGTAAAATAAATTATGTAAATTAACTCCTCATTTGAGCTACTGATTCAAACTTTTTCATTTATAAGTGTGTATTTCATTTTCTAACTAAAATGTAACACCTAAATTGTGGCGTTAACCTTCAAGTTGTCTGTATCAATTTCATCAATTTCCTCATGTACATCTGTCTTATTCTTTAGATTTCCTTTATTACCTGTTGTTGCGCCAGTTATGAATCTACCACAAACCATAGACATTCTTTAGCAGAGGTTATTGTAGAGAATGCTTGGAGAGATGATAAGTGCATCCGTCATTGCTGTTCATGTCATTCTACTTCTCCTGGATTCAACCCAGCCAAGAAAAGCACTGCTAATAATAAGCATAAATCGGGAAAAGGTAAGAATTGTGTATGCTTGTTTCAAAATGACATTGTAACATTATTAGTTTTGATTTGTATTACTGAAAAAATGTTCAATGTATACTTTCTTTGACAGAGGTGCTCTACAATTAAGGATTCATAAGATAAGGATATGCAACTTTCATAATATATATATATATATGATATGCAATGAAGACCTCCTTATAGTTACTGTATACCCACAGGGAGTTGGACAAACTTATGTATTTTAATAAATTATTAAATAATAAAATGTTATATAACTTTTCTTTTACCCCCCCCCCCTTCCTGGTAT